AGTAAGAGTTCTTAATATTAAGTAGATAACTAGTCTTTAGGTTCTACTCTATAGTGCAAAACTAATTAACTATACGCTTAGTAACCTTCTCTATACACTTAGGTCTAAAAAAGAGTTAGTAAAGCTTCTTAAGCTTAAAAAAAAGTATATATATACATTATTATATCTATAATTACTAATAGCACTAGTAAGGCAGCGCTTAGACTTCTTACTCTTATTAATACTTACGTAGTTTTTGTAGAAAAAGTTAGTAGCCTTTTTAGTGCTTATAGACTAGAAGTATTAGAGGTACACTATCTTATAGAGCTTACTAGTAGTAATAAAAATAGGCTTCTTAGAGCTGCGCTTACGTATAGACTTAGTTACTAAAGCTCTATTATTCTTGTTGTTAGAATCTTTATTAAGCGTATACTTCTTGCTATTATACTTCTTATTATTATACTTATTAGAAGAATTAGTAATGTCTAAACTATTAAACTAGACAGAGAGCTCTAGATTAAAAAGAGAGCTCTCTGTACTACTTATAATAATAAAAGAATACTTCTTCTTAGAAGTAGAGCTAGAGAAAAGTAAAGTATTATAAATAGTACTACTTTCTTAAGAAATAAGAAGCTTATCTAAAGCTTTAGTAGAAAGCTTAGAAGCGTTAGAAGAGATAGTAGAAGAGTTCTTAGAAGTAGAGCTCTTAGAACTAAAAGAACCTAGAAATAGAATATTAGAATAAGCATTGCTAGTAGCTAAAGAACTAGAAACTATAATAGTAACTTTAGTAGAATACTTACAAAAATTACTAGAAAGCTTCTAAGAGAGCGCAGTAACGTTAGAATTATAGTTAGTATACTCTTTCTAGACAGCCTTACTAGTCTACTTATTATAGTACTTTTCTATTGCGCTAATAGAATTAGTAGACTACTACGCTTTATAGATTACTTTTTCTAGAACTATCTCTTAATAGAGCTTAATAGCCTTTAGAAGTAGAATTTTAAAGCGTTCTTACTTAGTACGCTACTTATTAACAAAGCGCTTATTCTTAGACTTAATATACTTAGTTTTAGCGTTAGTCTTAGCTTTAGAATTCTTATTACTACGCTCTAAGTTGCGCTTAACCTACTTGTTACACTTACAACGTAGACGCTACTTATTTTCTATAGCTTAACTAGTAATATAATACTTATAAGTAATCTAGTTATAATACTCTTACTCTACTTTATTCTTAGCTTTAAGGTTATAAGTGTACTACTTATTAGCGTACTTCTAGGCAGCGCGCTTATTATAATATAAAATATTATTAGCCTACTCTTAAGTAACTATATTACTATACTTAGTAAATAGATTAGACTTCTTAGAAGTGTAAGTTAGAGTAGTAAATAGGTTATAGGTAGAAGTAGAAGTACTTATAGAACTAAAGCTCTACTTCTTACTAGAAGAACTACGCTTAGAAGAGCCTCTAGAAATACTATAGAGCTTGTTTAAGCGCTTATAATTATCTACTTTAAAGAGAGTAGCTAAGTACTTAGAGAAGTTAGAGGTATTAGAGCTTAATAGCTTAGCCTTTAACGCGCTTACGTAACTAAAACTTAAAGAAGTTACCTTAAAAGCGCTTATAAAGCTAGAACTAGACTACTTATTCTTAGAAGAGTAGCTATTCTTATACTTATACTTGTTCTTATTTAATATAATACTATAAAGCTTAGAGATAGATATAGAGAGGTATACTTAGTTTAATTAGTATAATAAGGTATGCTACTAGAGTTAGTAAGCGTACTAATAAAAATTAGAGATACTTACTCTTGTTTTAGGTAAGAGGTAGAGAGCGTTTAGCTAATTAAATAATTTTTAGTAATATTATAATTAGCGCGCGTGCGCTAAGCAAGCTCTTAGTGCTACGCACGCTCTAATAAGTACGTAATTAGTGTTCTTAGCTATAATAAAAGAGCTTATTATAACTACGTAGCCTACTCTTATAGAATACTTAAGAGGTATATTATAGAACGCACCTCTAGATACTTCTTAAAAGCATAGTATATAATTATACTAGTATAGATTAAGATAAGCTCTTAAGAGCTTTACTACTTAAGAGAGCTTTCTAAGTAAGCTTATAATATAATAATTTATCTTCTATTTATTTCTATGCTTCTAGACGTAATAGTTACTTTCTCTAGAACTTATATAAAGACGCTAACTATATAAAAGCTCTTACCTCTAAGTAGCTTACTATTAACTCTAGTATAACTCTAGAGTATAAGAAGATATAGAATAAATATATAAACTTCTATTTATACTAGATATACTAGAAGAAGCTTAAGAATTATAAGAAAAAGAAGCTTATTACTTTATTTAGTAGTATCTAGACTAATTTATATTTTAAGTATACTATATTATATAAAGATAAAGATAGCTATATATAGTAGCTCTACTATAGTAAGTAGCTAGGTAATACCTATAACTTTAATATAAACTACTCTTACTATAGTATAATACTTTAAGGTAGTTCTATTCTTAGTAACTAGTTCTTTCTTTTTCTTTTCTTTTTTATTTTTTTTTTTTTTATTTTTTATATATTTACTTTATAATAAATTCTAGAGAGGCTATTAGTTAGAATTTTATTACGTAATTTACTTACGCTAGTACTAGCGTCGCTCTAGTATTATTTATATAAGGCTTTCTCTCTCTTCTATAGAATAATTATATCTCTTCTTATTCTATACTCTAGGTTAACTATAAAAGCTAGAAGTAAGATTTAGAATAATACAACCTTATCTTCTTTCTCTATATAATTTATTAGTAAACTAATAATTCTATAGTAGAAGCTAGTCTAAAAAGAGTAAAGTCTATTACTAGTACATAAAAAGACGTATTTCTAAAAAGATTAAAATTTTATGTTTAGAGGTGCAGGCGTTAGATAAGCTAAGGCTTAGATTCTTAGCGCTACTACCTCTAGCGTAGTAGTTAAAGCTTTTAAAATTTAGAGTAGTAAGGTAACTATTCTATAAATACTAACGTCTACTTATAGTAGAGAGAATTATAATATAATTATATATTCTTAATAGCTTATAACTAATAGAGCTATAGATTACAAAGTAATAAAATGCTAAAATATTTAGTAAGCAAAATTATGCTTTTGCACCTATACTCTCTATTCTCTATCTCTATCTCTATTCTTATTTTTATTCTTATTCTATAGCTTATAGTAAATTAGAGATCTAAAGACTTATTAAAGTAAATAGCAGCTTAAATCTAATACTAAAGCTATACTAACTAAATAAGCTCTTAACTACGTTGCTGCTCTTTTATAAGTCTTTCTAGCGTTAGTAAGTCTACCTAAAGCTAATCTTATTACTAGTTATATTACTTTTATTAATTGCATTTTTATACTACGTTGCGTTGCTTATTAAAGCTTCTATAGACTACTCTAAGACTACTACTAAAAAGAAAGCTCTTAGCTAGGCTATTCTAAAGATTATTATATAGACTATTATTAAGGCTATTATAAACGCTATTATTAGAGCTCTTAAGGCCTATCTAACCTATTTTATATTATGTTCTAAGACTACTAACACTATTAATACTATTAATACTATTAAAATTATTATACTACTACTATAAAGGCTTCTAATAAGTAGACTAAGACCTTCTATAGTTCTCTATTATAGCTAAGCCTTTAAGTAACTTACTAATAATATATAAGAGTTCTTTTATAGGCTGTACCTACTCTAAAAAGAGTAATAGAATAGTTATTATATTACTAGCGTTACTCTTTTTACCTAGAGTAATCTATTAATTATCTACGCTATCTATACCTATAACTTTATATATAAGATTAGGCTATAAATAGCTCTACCTATAGAGATAAAAGTAGCTATTATATGCTAGCGTAAGGCGTTTATTAGAATTCTTAGCTAGAGTAATAATAAATAAACTAAAGAAGACAAAGCGTTTAAAGCCTATCTCTAGTATAATAATGCTATTAAATAGATAGTAGCTATGTTAGTGTTCTACTATTATAGTTACTCTTAAGAACTAAGAGAGTAGTTATCTTTATTAGCTACTTAGCGTCTTAAGTTATATTATATTAATAGCTAACTATTACTAGTTAGTTTTACTCTATATATTAGAGCTAATATAGGCGTTGCTTAATATAAAGTTTACTTTTTTAGTAAGGCCTTAAAAGTAATATATTATTAGTTAAAAGCCTTAGTGCTAATAGTAATATATACTAAATATATTAAAATCTTAAAATCTTCTAGTAGTTCTAGAATAACTTTAAAAGCTAGGCGTCTTTTAACGTCTTTTTACTAAACAGAGTCTGCAAAATTAGGCACAAGGCACTGTTCTCTACACAATAACGCGACACACAAAAAATTTAAAAAAATTTTAATATATAGAGTAAGCTACTGCGAATAATTCTATCTTTTTAGAATTCTCTTAAAAGATGTTGTTGTAGAGTTATTAGGGTTGCCTACCTTCTCGCTATTTCCGGCTTTCACGGTTGACGTAGAGACGGCATCTCGGCAGATACATACCTCTCGACTATCTAGCGCTACCTTCCCTAGGGCTCGGTGTCCACGTTTGTTGCCTCTACCATAGCTTAGTTGTAAAAAAAAAAACGATTCCTCTCTAATACTACGATTGCGCTTTTCTCCATGGAATCCAACCCCGCCTCGAACCATCCTGCGCATGCCAACCGGTCTTTGGGGCGTCTACCCACTCTGCTGCATCTCTGCCCCCAACAACCTCAATACCCCAACGCACCTCTCCGTTTCTGTCTTTGAACCACCCTAGCATGGTTTTGACGTCATTCGCGTTCTTTAGTGCTACACCTCGTTCTTCTACCAATCGCGAAAGATGATCGCTCCCTGCGACAAGTACAAGTACGTCGGCGATGAGTTGCACGTCTCGAAGCAAGGGACTCGTGCATCTTCTCTGTAGAGAACTGACTACGGCTGTAGTGCCTATGAGCCAGATGATTATTGCCACCGACAGATACGTAGCGATTGCATTCATATGAAGAACCTGGGTTCGGTGGGATACCAGTGCCTCAACTGTTCGATTGGTGTGGAGACTTGCGTACTTGCGTCGCGGAAGAACCCTGCCATCCAATGTCACTGGCTCTCCTAACGCATGTGTACTGTTGTCGCCGATCTTTTGGTACCCCCAACCGCCTTGCTCTAGAGATAGACCATTGCTGATGAAGTGCTGGAAGAAAGTTTGGAAGGTATGGTTTGCGTGTGTGACAAGTGTTGCGTAGTCGAGCAAAGCCTGCGGATCCTTGTTGGCGAGGCTATACATGCTGTATGTCATCAGGTCCATGTTCATGCCGGTTTCAGCGTCGCGCATGATGAAGGCATTGTCGCGAAGAGATTCCATGAATAATGTCCCTTCTGGCCCAAGATTCGGGTCAGCGGCCTTGAACATGGATCCCATGAATAAGACCCCATAACTCGTGGTGACGTTCAACGGTCCTCGGTATTTTTTGTCGTATTGCTGCGTTGCGTTGCCATGGGTCGGCGCGTGTCGGACAAACACTTCGGACCATGCTGATTTTGCAGGGCCGACGGGGCTGATGATCTCATAGGATTGGACCATGCCCGTTTCCACGTCCACGACCACTTTGGCATCTGACGTCTCCACTATCGGCATGCAACGAGCGGCTTGTAAATCGGGTACATCTTTGAAAAGCAGCATTGGTCCTTGGTTCTCGTCTCTGCCTGGTACTGTTACAGGCTTACCAACGATCCATTTCGTAACAAATGGAACCGGCCACTGACTGTCTGCGTTTGGAAACTCTTCGACATTTACTGGGGACCAGTATCCTATCACTGCTGAGTCCGGATCGTCTTTGGTTCCGTTTGAGCAACACGACAGCATAGCGCTGGTGCCAAATGCTGAAGTGTTTGACGGGCTGCCGCCAAACATCGTATGATTGAAGGAATAGTAATTTTCCAGGCCCTCCAGATCCGTCGGTGTGACCTGGGAATCAATTTCATCGGGATGAATGAGCCATGTCGATGTGTTCGCTACTTCGGGTACTTGCTCGCATTCTAGCCGAGCTCGTAGAGCAGATGTTGTGATTGTTACGTTATTCGGAAACGTTATCGTTTCTTTGGCATCCACTTGGGAAATACTGGTAAGATTGAAGGGTATGAAACTCCAACCATCTTGAGTCCAAGAAGGCTTAGTGCCATTGAGTGATAGCTGAATGGCAGCGCCGGGAAGCCAATTTTTAGGCGGATTCAGCAGAAGATCGTTGAGTACTTCAAATGGAGGCAGACCCGGAATAGCTGCACCCATTCGTTGTTCGTAGGTCTTCACCGTAGTTATAATGGGTATCTCTCGAGGTTCCAGCGTCCTCTCGATAATCGCTCGATGAGATACGTTCACAGCTTGTCGTTCGAAGAGCGCTGACATCGAAACGGTGACTGGCAAATTGAAGTCAGCAAGCTAGAAGACCATCGATCATGAAATTCTTACGAATTTGGCAGAGAACGCTTCCAGTAGCGACTAGGAACAGCATCCAATGCTTGTTGCGGGCGGCTTTGATAGCCGCACCAGCCCAGGTTTTGGAACGGTACGTAAGACCCGCTCCATTGGTGATGGGTGTTGGCCGTTGCGACATCGCAAAATAGGGTTGGAGGATTCTGAATGTCGAATCCAATTGATCCCACCACAAGCCGATCACAATACTGACAACTGTGGGTGCGATAGATATAGGAGCAAAAGTGGAGAAGCTCAAGCCCAACTTAGAAACATCGGCTTCGTAAACGAATGCAAGCTGAGAAAGTCGAGATCTCGCAGAGAAAGCGTTCAGTACTAACACCGCAACCAGGATCAGGATAAGAAAGCTTGAAAGAGCAAACAGCATACGAAGTCGGATGACCAACGGCTGCCAAAAGCTTGAAGACTTAGTGGTTGTGGGAGCTATTGAAGACATTTATCAGCTCACGGCTTCGATTACATGGCATTGCTGACTTACATGTGCTTGCGAGGCAATCACTGCTTGCAGTATGTATAGCACCATCCCGCATGTAAAATGTGTCGTTCCTTATTCTTTGGCGGAAATCGTGATGCGCTATACGATGACCTTCTCGAAATGTTGATGATTGTGTCGGATGCGATTGAACTAACATAGCATGTCCAAGGGTACTGCCGGGGTCCATGCTGAGGTCGAGCGGCCGAAATGATAGTCGTGAGACCCAAAATACCATGATGAGTAGCAAGAAGGAGACCAAGAAGAGGGTAGCCAAAGCGATTCCGATCTCTTGGAGTACCATGATTCTATTTTCGACCACTGTTGCCTTCCCTTTTGTAACTTCGACGCGTGTTACGTCGGGGTCGTTCAAGGCCTCGCGAAGACACTCCGTGAAGAATCTTCCTTTGACTCTTTCTGCGCGGGAAACAAACTCCCTGTCGTTCAACATTTCGGTAACGTTGAATGAATAGAGAGCGCCAAGCAGCGGACCAAGCCCAAAGAACTCTGGAGCGTTGGTCGTCATGTTCGGATCGGAGTAAGGGCCAAGCTGGCCGCCCAGAGCACGGTCCGCATCAGTCGCTATGCTTTCGGCGTTAAAATAGTATTTCCAAGTGTCTTGTAGTGCCATCTCTTCAAATTTAGGGATGTCTATCATATCTTTCGTGATTGACACGGGCTGAATATGGTCCGACTCCATGGACGTAATGTTCGGCTCTTTGCCTTGGCCTATTGAAGTAGAAGTGTTGTGTGTTTCCATAGAATACTGAGATTTGCAAAGCAATGCCTTCATGCGAAAGTCAGGCGAGCGTTCATAGGTCCTGTTGAGCTCAAGTCCTGTCCCTGCCGCTTCACTCAGCTCCAACCTGACGGGCTTGGTCCACGGGGTGTTGAGAATGATGATATCCCGGTCTGCACATTCTGGAGAGGCATAGTGGCGCGCATACGGACTGGTCGAGGAGACGTTACTGGGAAACGGCATTCTACCGAGGGGCAGCAGCTCATCCTCAATGTAGAAAGTAGAAGTGTTTGACCATGTCAAGCCTCCACGCATTGCCAGATTAACCGCAGGGTGAACGGTTATTTCGTGTCTGCAACCGTCGTCCGATGCTAAAGCAAAGACTACCATGGGTTCTACGCCCTTGTATGGCCCGTGTCCCATGATATCGTACTCTTTGTATTCCATCGGCACAAGATCAGCGCTTTCTAGCGTCATGTCCCGACAACCTAGGTTCGCATGTATTGTCGTTGTCTCTGCCGTCCAGGAGTTGAAGCTTGATACCAGATCGGGGCCGAGTTGTGCTGTATCTGTAGACGGCCAATTCGGAAAGGTGATAGAAGTATCTTTTATCCATGCTGAAGTAGAGAGATTCCTCATCAGCGCAGACGTAGTTCTGAAATAGGTTTCTCTACTGGCGACAATGGGCAGTTGGAGACCAATCCTAGGAACGCTTCTGCTGATGTCAAGCGCTTTGGTGATTACAATCTCTTCGGATGTAAGAAGGGCGGATGACAAAGGAGATATAGCGAGAAGGGCCACCACATTGATTACAGCCGTGCAGATGAGACACCAACTGGTTTTACCGACCGACTTGCGCTTGAGGACGATATCCAGTAAGATAGCCCACCAGGCCCTGGGCGTTTGGAGTAATGTACCGTAGGCACTGGCGCCTTCTGAAGGTGCTCGAGCTAATCGAGCGAACGGCTCCGTTCTCTTGGCATCTTCAAATAGGATAACCGTGGATTGTGTGTACAGCACTGCTAGCAGAGTTGGTGTGAAGCGCCATCCAAACAGTACTGCAGAAGATCCGTCATCGGCACCGAGTCCGTAGTGGTGTTGCGAGTACCAAATAAGTAGCGATATTGTTATGCCCAGGATGGCGGTGGCACTTATCGGGATCAATAGAGAATACCATCTAAAGGTAAATGGCAGCCAGCTCCCTTTCCGATCCGTTGGAGCTTGTGCTGGCAAGTTTGTTAGCCGCCTAGATCTTCAGAGGTAATTGATTACTAACCTGTGCCCAAAGTCATGGTATCTGTCGTAGACTGAGCAGACGAGTCCGCTTGGACTGAAGGCACATGACCTCCTAATGTTCGATCCATAACGACAGATGCTCCAAGTGCGCTCAAGCGGGGTTGGCCCAAAAGAAAACTCACAGCGACTTGGTGGCTGTATCCAAGGTTATCGCACAGAGAAGCGCATACATAGAGGCTACTTAAGCCATCTTCGTCTGCTGTTCAAGCTGTACCTGCATCGATCGTCCGCACAGATAGATTGCGGCACAGCACTGCTGATGCCACTTTCATACTTGATCCGGTACCGACATAGCGGATGCACGGAGTTCTTGAGGCTATCGTGCAATAACATAGTTGGCTAAGCGCCCGGGTGGACATTGGGATTGTTGCAGCGGTTCGCGCCAACACTTCAGCGTTAAGCACGCGCCGCGATGGAGGGATCTTCCGTAAAACCTTCGAATGGGCGGCAGGATCTGGGATCCCCGTTGCGCATGACAGAGAACCAGTCGAAACGCCAGGTAAAAGAATGCAGGTAGACGCGCGATTGTCATATGAAGTGAAAGCCTGCCCCGAACCTTCCGTCGCGTCTTCCGTTCCCCTCACGGGTGGGAGCTCCCGTTCTTCACGTGGGGGCTAACTAACTGTATCGGGAGTAGCGTCGCGATTGTGATAGGGATAAAATCGATCCAATCATACGTGATTAATCTGAAGGCGCTGTAGCATGAAACAATTACCCCGTTTATCTTGTCTACATGTGCGAAAAAAAATTAAGTTCTGGTGTTGAAGCCAGACACATTGTAGCTGGAGGTTTGGCCACCTGGACAAGATCCAATGCCTACTACCTAGGTAAGCTAGACTTTCGCTAAAGCCGAGAGGGAGAAGGACGCGATGTAGACAAGCGTGTTGTATATCTGATATAATGAAGTCTCAATAGATGGGATGAGCAGTGTCTGTTTAGGCAGGCATGCCTAAGTACCTTCCAAAGTTCTCTCTTCCAGGGATGTGAGCAAGAGTTATAGTCCAAGAACATTCGTAGAGGCGCATCTTCAAGATGGAAAAGACCGATGTCGTTTCATTCAGTCCAATTTCTAGCCGGCTGTCGAAGGTGTTTTTATATCTCAAGAGTTACTGTTCAAGGTGCACCGCGTGCGACTACCTGTCGACACAAATACCTCGGTACCCCTGCCTTGCCTACAGCCTTTCCCCTACCCCGTTGTCTACGCCAGGCCGCTGCCGCCCGTCACTTACATGCGTAGCGAGATTCTAGCAACTTACGACTCCGAAGAACATCGGTCCGCAACGCGTCGTCTATCTTCGCCTACCCCTCTTATACGCTACTCCCAATGCAGCGCCATCAAGCGAGTCTGCACGCGAGTGATTGGTGGGTGCCTTTCTACAGTCTACCATTAGACGTTATCAGAAACAGGGGTGAGCGAGAAGGAGCATTCGGGCATGTGGTGGGCTCAGGCGCCCTCGCAAGGGTAGCCGATTCATAGCATCCACGGATGTGCAGAACCTTAGGTACGTAGGTACTTGGATACGTGGCTAACGTGTCGACAAAGACAAATCAACGTAGAGGGCGGAACATCAGCCATGTCCGCTTCGAAATTTGTGGGTTTGATGTGCGAATGGTATATTCCTCGTGTATCCATGTGTCTTCAAGATTGGGCGACTTACAGCGCCAGGATGTTGCTTCGGATTGCAACGTTCGCTTACCCTGGTTGCTGCACATTCGCATCATTTGCCAAAGTGTTCGATGAAGTCAAGACGGTATTTGCATCCGCTTTCTTTCAAATTTCTATCACTCGTTTTGGCCACCAGCTTCTTTGACGACTGAAAATACATGTACTCAACTACTTGGACGACAGTGTCCTGAAGATTGCAAAACGGGAGAGGGGAATATCAGATAATGTAAGCTTACACCATGCTCGACTCTATGCCGTGGAACTCAGTTTTGCGCGCCCATTCGCATCCGATCTAAGCGGTACAGCAACATCGTTACACCGCCCGCTACACTTAGCCGCACGCAATTAACCGATGGTCATGCGTGAACAGCGAGCGTTTTTCTCACTATACTCAATGTTTCATAGTATAGAACCCGAACGCCGAACGCCTTGAATTCCAACACTTGAGACCCAAAAACACGATACCCTTCCGCTCGGAACTTCATTCTTATAGCACAATGTGTTGCTCGGCACTCGATTCGCTTGTAGCAAGGCGCTACGAGAGCTCGCTCGTAGGATTTAGCTGCCTCGCTAGTACGATTCAGATAGCTGCGAGGTCGTTGAGTGCACAGCTCAGCTCTCGTCTCGCACCGAGCTCATCAATGCCGTCATGCGGCCGGTAATGGTGTGCGACGATCCGCACCGTGGCCCGGTAAGTCTTGTACCTATTACGGTCAGCATTGCGGCCTTCTAATTACCCGCACTTGGTACTTACATCAGCATCCTGACCCTCGCGCCCCCAGTCTTCACAGGGTAATCTCCCAAGCCGGCGAAGAACGCTTCATTGCCATCCGCGATACCGCCGCTCATGAGAGGGTCGCCCCAGATGACGTTCGAAAATCCGACAAGACCTATGACCTGCTTGGTACGTTCGTCGATGAGCACGTTCTCCGGGTCGCAGAGATTGAGCGCTACAAGGCGCGGTTCGGTAACTTCTTCCAGGCAGTGTGCGTGTTTGCCAACCCAGAAACGTATACTTTCGGAGTGTGCGTTAACAAGCATATCCTCAGCATCGCGTAGTGCGGCTTCGAGGAGGGCAAAGAAAGCCTCGCGCCAGGAGTTGCTGCCCTTTTTGACGAAGACACGGTGTGTCATACCAAATTGGGTGGCAGATAGTGCAGTCAGAGCGCGGACATGTGTGCCTAGTGTGTGGTCGATGGAGTTTCTCTCGCTGGTCGAGATGTATGGCGCGATTTCCGAGAGCTTGCGACCAGGCATGTGGCTCATCATAAGAAATGGTGCACCAAGCGGTCCACCATGGCTATCATATTTGATGATTTGGGGCACAGGTACTTGTGTATACTCGTGCAGTGTCTCGAGTGCTTTGCGTTCTGTCTCCAGGAAGTGCTTCTCATGCCGGAGGAGTCGGATGTTATAAGCTGGTGGGCATTTGAGTATCAAACAGCTGCCATCTTGAAGTCTTGCGAGATAAACCTGGTGTATGCACCCTTGCTGGACTTCAATTTGCTGAACATTGATTCTTGAGGACCGAAAGACTGCTCTGATGACTCTTTGTATGCTGGGAAAGTCGACTGTTGTGATAGCAGTCCGCGAAGATGCTGATGAAGACGAAGATGAAGACGAAGTGGTCGAAGAGGGCCGAACGGGCTTTAGAGCGTACGTTCCACGGCTCATACTGGTGAGGGGAAAGATTGCAACATCCAGTGGGGGAAGATGCATTATGAAGGGCCGAGCAGCGACGTCCTAGATTGAGGGGGCGGGGGGCTTAGCGTGATTCGATAGTGGAGGCCTGGAGCTGACTGAATGCTGCATGTCGAGGACATCGCTATGCATTAAGAATGTTTTGACGATTGCGCAAACAAAGTCAATGCCAGCTCTTTTCTCATAGAATCATGGATGCTCGATCTGAACGCAAAAATGTCCCGACGAATGTCGGAAACAAAAGCATAGTAACGCCAGCCCGAGCAAGACCGACTCTGATAGATCTCAATTGATGAAGCCATCTCCTTGGTTCGGCCATACCGAATCGCATGACAGTCGACACTTAGTAGCACATCTGAAAGTCCCAACCAGTCCCCGAGCCATATCGACTATCCTCTCGCCGATGCACTGCTCAGCCGAAAAGCAAAAGTCTATCATGCGCGTACGGAACTGGTAAGTAAGCGGCGTATTCTAAGCGAATTGTTTAGCGAAGGCGGATGTAGAGGCGGAGAAGGACGCGTGAGGCGTTCAGATTGGCGCTCTCAGCGTTCGTCAAGGATACCCACAAGTGGCTAGGCACCCGATGAGGATATCGCGCATCGCGAATTATGATTGGTTCTGCCGAGAGACGGCTGAAGGATACCATTGACCGACATCTTTCGATAGCATATCCTTAGGAATCTGAGAGACGATTGGGTGTAGGTTTGACAGTGCAAAAAATAACGCTGTGATTAACGCAGTGTCATGTCTGTACGGGCCCTCAACTCGCCCGGCCCAATATTTTACGTAGCTAGTCAACTACTTCCACACATTCCACGCCTGTGTGCCATTGCTGTGGCGGCTATGTAAGCCCGCACCCAGTATGCACCCGGCAGTTCGGAGACGAGTAGTAGCAACACGCCGGATGTCAGGTCGATGAGTAGGTGGCTACTGTGCTCACTCCGATGATCCACTAGACGTTTGCCTCATCCCGCGAGCAAACGTATGCAAGCCACGGTGGTCCCGATCGGAGATTTTTTCAGTTTGTGGAAATTGCTGCGCGAGGCGTTCTAGCACCACGACGGCTGCCCCACGCACCGATTCCACTCGTCTCCTTCTCAGACACGTCCATTCTCGATGTTCCCTGACTGACCATCGACCTGAGGTTTGACGGAGGGCAACGGCTGACGAAGCTCCTCGATGTTGAAACGTTTGAGCTGCTCGAAGTCAGGACCGACCACACTCATACCTAAGACATTCTGTCGGATGTAAGCAGCTGTCAAGATCTCATTATGCGGTGCATGTGAGACGTGTGATCACCACGTGGGGTATGACTATACCTTGTAAATTTCCACGAGAATGAGAAGATCGTAGTTCTTCAGGTCGACCTTGTGCCCAGGACCAACTGCAGCTGCGATTGTATTGATGACGCCATCTCTCAAAAACTCCTTATTGTTGCGGATCGATGGGCGTATCGCAAACTTGGGTAACCACACGTTAGCGGAGATCTTTGCACGACGACACTACATCATCTGATAGAAGAAGCTAATGCTCACTTTTTTCCCCGCTTGATCTGATCCATGGAAGTGAGGCGCAAGGACTTGTTTCGCAACAGCCTCAAGACCCTGTGGCGTGGCTTTGTCGGTCGCAGTAATTGGTGTTAGTCGCTTGACATAGCGTAAGTTCTTCGGCTGAGCGCCATCAGCAATATCTTGACAGATCTTATGTACGAAGGAGACAGGTTCGAGAGGTGAGCGTGTCCTAAAAAATATCACTTTCTTGAGTCAGCCCGAGCGGTCGGAAGTGTGATTGGCTATCCTCACAGCACTGGGTGTCGAGTTTGAGAGATGTGAACAAGGGTTTCGTAGTCGGCTTACGAATATCGGCGAGCTCTTTCTGGATCTCAGCTTCGATATCACCTCCTTCCGAGTCAGAGCTGTCTTCTGCAGCCGTCCCATTGGAACCGGCGGCGCCGTGCAGGGTAGTAGCGTACTATCATGAATCAGCATCACCAGCACTGTCGCTCGCGGATGGTGCAGCATCAATATATCGCTAACCTCTTGGAATAGATCCCGCAGATCAGAGACAGATTTTGCTTCCTTCTTCATAGCGCATGTTGCCCATATGCCCGCATCACCGGGTTTGATAGTACGAGACTGACTGCCGTCCCTGCGGGGCATATCCCAGTTTCTTTTACTCTGATGTCTCGGATCAGCCTGATGAATCTCACTGCAGCTGCATGACGAAAATGGAACTGGGAAGCCAAGAATGCAAGTACGGGAGGAGTTTTGACAGTGGTACGAAGAAAAGAACTCACCTTAGCTCGTTTGTCGCCGCCGTCGTGCCGCTCGCGGGCCTCGGCTTTCCGCTTCCTCGGGTTACTCTCCGCTCCGGACATTTCAAATTATACGGGTGAAGCTGTAGGGTGGGCGTGATGTGATGGTAATTGGAAGGCTCGATCGAAGCCACCTGCACCCGACATCTGGATGCACGGGAAGAAAAAAGAGGCTAGGCTTGTTTCGTCCACTAGCGCGCCTACTCCCGCGTTGGCTACCTAGGTACCAAGGGACATCTCCACCCACCTTGCAAAGTGCCTCGCTCTCACCAGCGCATGCAGCCTCGCGCGGTCTACCCTCTAATGTCTTCTAGAGACACACTCGACGGGTGGCGTCAATTCTAATTTTACTTTCCGGGATGCATGTCGGCGACCTTGCACGTCTGGCGGTTCAATGACGCCTCTAATTAAGCCTTCACCCTGTCCATCGATTGCCGCAGCAATGCGACCTACCATGTTATTGCTGATCATCCCGTCGTTCTTGTGTCAGACGAAAGCCAGATCCTGTCCACTCAAATCGCAGATGCTGTCAGATGCAAGCCTGCTGATTATATGGTCCACGAATTCAAGGGTGCTCGTCGACGGCTTGCGCCAAACGTTCAATTTATTCTGCGCTTCTCAATCGCCGTGTAGACAGTACGATATGGGGGTGTTCCGTTATATTGGAGAGATGAGCTATCAATAGGAATGAGGATCGATCTCAGAGATGACTAGATAGGGATCCTGCGCCATCTCTGGCTGTCTTTGCACAGCACGAAGGAGGATTCCCAACGACCTAGTTGACCGCCGAGAAGTAAAGGGACTATGCGAACAAGTACGACATGCCTCTATTGGAGCTCACTACTAGTTCTAGGGAATTTCAACAGTCTTCAACATTCTGACACCTTCGATATCATACAGAGACACGACAGCTAGCACCCTCGGCTTTGTGCAAGGACGGCAACCCAGCTGCACCGCTTTGGCGAGAAAGCTCCACACCACAAGAGCTTTAATAGGATGATACTCGGAGAAGGTTTGTACAAAAGTTTCCCAAGTTGGAAAGTATGAAAGCTCACTCTATGGAATCAACGCTGCTCGAGATATGCTCACCTGAGAGGGCGAGGTAACAAGGCGTAAGCTCGCTCTTGTCATTGCAATCGGTTGCCAATATGCACACCATGTTGTCGAAGACACTGTTACACACGTAGCGTAATGCTGAACTTCAGAAGGATCGATACTATGTCGTGTTGTACTTGTGTCTCAAAGAAACAGTGGCAACATGATGTGTATTCAATATCCCTCATCGATCCGCAGACTGTCCAATCCACGTTTGTCCAGCATGCTTGTACTTGAAGTACTGATTGCTATCACTGCCTGGCTCTTTGAACGGCCAGGTCCTGTACGCTTCCACAAGCTCCAGAATCATCTCGGATGTTAGCATCCTAACCCTGAGATGCTCCATTTGCAGTCTACCACCTTTCTTCGGATCTTTCAAACTGGGACAATCTTTTATAATGTCGCTGAGGCCATGTTGCAGCTTGTCGAGAGCATGATTGATACCATCGGAGGGGTGCGCGAAGAGTCCGAAGATAAAATCTCGCGCCCACTCGTAGAAGTCGGGGGATCCGCCGACAGGCCTGGGGAAGGGCTCAGCAGAGACGAGGGCCAGCCGGCTCTGGGGCCAAGCCTCATTCTTACGCATGACGAGGGGCTCGAAAGGACGGGAGTCGGATTGGAGACGAGGTGAGGGCGGCGAGCGTATAGCGAGGCGGTCATCGATCTCTGTTGCAGGTACCTTAGCATAGTTGGCATTTTGACTGTCGAGGCCCTGCTTCCACTGGGTTTCAAGATCGCTTAGCTCGGCCATTGCAGCAGCTTTTTCAGGGCCGTCTGGCATGTCAACAATCTTGCATTCGAGCTTGTATATAGCCTCGCCAATGTCTGCTATGGATGCTGCCAACAGTTTCTTTCTCTGAGTCAGCGCCATACCAGTACTTTCTCTGTAGAATTTCCGTATGTCGTCCTTGTAAGGGTGGTCAGGGGGTACCGGCCGTTTGGTTCTTTTGCCTTTTGCATCTGTCGGATCGTTAAGATCGACTTGTGGAAAGACGTTGATTACACGTCTCATGAAATCGTAGTACTCGATGAGACCAGGTGAAAGCAGGCCAATGGGGTTTCTACCCGCCAACTGTTGCGTGCGAAGGTAATCTTGAATCGTTTGAAAACTGGTCACGCCTGTGCCATTGGAAATCTGGTCGACTTCTTCAGCAAAGTCGTGGATGTGGTCGCGCCGATGTGATGGTAGCTCCATCCCATTCTCTTTCCCTTTCTTCAGAGCGCGGACAATGGCCTCGATCTCGTACTGTGGTTCACGGCCCGAAGAGGCTCTGCCCGTGCTGCGCGAGGCGCGCTCTGGTTGGATGAAGAGGGTTGTGTCTTGTAACATTTGCATGAGGCGGTTTGTTTTGGTCATTTCGTTGATAGATTGGGCAATCATGCCGCTAAAGTCGTCGTGCTGTACCCACAGTAAGGTACGAACCATGCCATAGGCATGAAATAGATCGTTTGTCCAGGCAGCGGAGGCAAAGTGGTAGGCGAGCTGTTTCGCCATTGAGTCAAAACCAAGGCCGGGAAGTCTTGGATCCCATGCCAGAGAGCCAGTCACTAACAGGGTGTTGTTTGGTTCCTGTGCTTTGGGGTCTTCAGCGTCCAGCACAGTCTGGTGTGGGAACACACCGTTTGCAACCATGTCCCGGTATGTCTGGAGTACGGTCGGGTCTTGTTCGACGAGTGAGTACCTGGAGCCGGGTGCAGTGAGAAGAGGGTCAAGAAAGTCTTTAAACTTTTCGTGTCGCGGTTCGAGGAGCACGTGGCTGCGCGGTTGGAGGTATTCGTGCAGCTTCTGTGACCAGAGCCCGGCGCCAGGGTTGATGTCGAGGATATCGCAGCCTTTGTGCTTATCTAACGTATGGCCGGCGTATTTGAGGACGTCATCTAAGGGTATCTGGCGTTAGTCCCGCTCAGCGAAGATGGGTGTTCCGGGACTTGACGTACCGCATAGGTCGGGACTTACGATCTGTGTTCTGACGTGAACGCCGCCTTTTACTATCGCCGCGCCTTCGTTCCGTGTTCTCCTCTTCTTCGGCGCTGCTTCCTCCTTGTTGGGATGTATCCTTTCCGCCATGGCCGCACTCAAGGAATACTCGGCAGGTGTAGATAGTTTCTCATCGGTCCAGTAGTGGTGCTGCTCCTTTGAGCGCGCCCGCTTACCGCCAGGTGCAGTGGCGACGGAGCGCGCCTGGTTCCATTGGCGGACAGATATGTTTCCTCGCCAGACATTGCGCGGTATTATAGGGCGTATGCGCATCATCAGGGGGTGCGAGGTTGTCGCTCAGCCATCAAAGTACCATCGCGCAAGTTTCGCCGCGGGGATCCCAGCCGCTTCGAGATAGCGTGCTTATCTCCACGTGCTCACGCGTCCTGGCTTGGCAGGCTTCATCGTCGGCTAATGTCATTCTCGATGACGCAAAGCTGGGCGTCCACCATGTTGCCGACGAGCAGCAATATCCTCATCGTAGGTGCTGGAACATGGGGCTGCTCCATTGCCCTCGAGCTCGCTCGTCGCGGTCACACCTCCATCAAAGTCCTCGACGGCAGCTCCTTCCCCTCGCCCATCTCCGCAGGAAATGACCTTAATAAGATCGCGGAAGAGAGTAACGACCCCTCCGAGTCTGACTCTCTCCAAGACTTCTTCTGGAATCGACTGGCCCAGCTTGCAATGCATGCATGGAAATGCGATCCACTGTTCTCGCCCTTTTACCATGACACGGGTTTTATCATGGCCGCTGTTGGCGAGGAAGCCTACCAGCGTTGTCTAGAGTATGCCAAAGGCGAGAAAGTATCCCCAGCAGCCCTGAATACGAGACATGATTTCCAGCAAACAATGCCAGGAGGGTTGCTACAGGGCGACTTTCCAGGTTGGAGGGGCTTCTGGAAAAAGAAAGGCGCAGGGTGGGTGTTCGCTAGTGGAGCTCTCAGAGCTATGCATCAAGAAGCCGTGAGATTGGGTGTGGAATTCTTGACCGACAGCATGGAGGGCGGTGTCGAAGAGCTGCTGTATAATTCGGACAATAGCGCAGTATCGGGGGTGAAGACGAGGAACGGCTCTGAGCACAAGGCTCAGCACATCATTGTATCCGCTGGTGCGAACAGTGACCTACTCTTAGACTTCGAGAGTCAACTTCGACCCACAGCCTGGACACTTGCACATCTACCCCTCTCAGCCGAAGAAGCGAAGCAGTACCGGAACCTACCTGTGCTGTATGGCGTGGATCGCGGTTTCTTCATCGAACCCGACACCGAGAGACACGAAATAAAGGTCTGCGATGAACATCCGGGATACATCAATCCAGTCATCAACGACAGTGGCAAGATGCGCTCCGTTCCGTTTGCGCGACAACAGATTCCGAGAGAAGCAGAAGCACGTATGCGCCTTCTTCTCTCTGACACAATGCCACAGTTTGCAACCCGAGACTTGAGCTTCGCGCGTTTATGCTGGGACGTAGATACTGTGGATCGCATCTTTCTCATCGACAAGCACCCTAATGTCCAAGGCTTGATTGTAGCGGTCGGAGGATCTGGAAACGGCTTCATGGCATGCCCTGCAATCGGCTCTCTGGTTGCAGACATAGTAGAGAACAAGAGTGAAGGGAAGATGAGGGAAGCGATGCGTTGGCGACCAGAGATTTGCGCCGAGAGGGATTTGTGGGATGCGCAAGGGAGATATGGTGCTGAAGGCAAGGTTATGGATATCCGACAGGTAACAGAGTGGACAACGATGTGAGTCCAGCAGGCTTTTGCACGTCTCAGCTGCTCAAGTGGTTTTTTTCTAGACATGGGTTTCTCTATCATAGGCTTCTTGTCATCACTGATGCTGGTGTATAATCAAGAGAATGGCGGTGGAGGGCCCGAGAACCACGCACTTTGATCTAAGGTGAAAATCGCTTTCTCGACCAAGCCTCTCGTGAACCGGTGGGTATCCATCAGACCGTCTTGGGGGGAACTGGCGCCCAAAAATAGAGATTCCTACTGTGATCATGCATATTTCACATTCTTGTCATGGATGTTGCCTATCAAGCCGATGCTGGGAAATTGGTCAACTCGGTGCTGGATGGAATCAGCAACATAGCCTCTAAACGTCATTTTGTGAAGTTTAATTACAGATGTGAGGCTGAAGGTTTCAGGCATCCTGCGGTAGAATTTCGCCGCTCGCAATTTAGGCATCCCGTCCCATCATCGGTAGTTATCACGGTGTACCCACCGCTACGGCTCAACTGCGACTCCCAGCATTGACATGCGTTCCCACGTGGGAAAGATTCCTAGCGTCGTAGCCACTGTGGGGTCCGATGCTGGATGCTGGGGATTTTGTAGGTCGGCGATTATGGATCTGCAGGTCGGCGATTGAAGATTATGTCGGCGATTTGAGGCTGTGTTAACAAGCACTGCCACGTTTCACCCCTCGACACTCATTCCGATTTCCAACGCCTTTCGAAAGAAGTGTTTGCTGTAAAGTCGCGATACCTAATAATAGATTTGGTAGGAATGAAGTTAACAGGTTGGTGTGAATGAGAGAAGCCGGCCGTCTTCGACAGTTAGATGAAGACTGGAGGCCCCACTAACCACACATCGTACAATGTCTTGGGTTCTGGCTAGAAATGGACTGATGCAGTATACAGATCCAGAGCTGCGATGTTGGGGCCGAATATGCTTCCTGGTAAGTACATTCGGCTTATGCCGCTGTCGAGTATGGGATGAAGGTTCCTAGGGCCGTTACACGCCATTAGGACGGGACGTTAGGTCTTGATGCTTGACATACTGGGATAGCCGGTAGTCTTGGTGGTCGCCTAGACGGTCCATACCGGTGCGGCATCAACAAACACCCCTGACACTTTATTCATCCAATCGTATGACATCCTCAGTATGGTTAGTCTCATTGCATGATCGGCTTCGGGCCGAGTCTTACAATGCTTGAACATGAGTTCTAGAAATGTTGATATGACTGTTGCATGACTCTTAAAAGAAAGTTGTCATGGAAAGCCTGAGAGCGGTTCAAATCCTTCGTTTGCGTGTATGCAGATCATCGCCTGTCACGGTGACTATTGCCAGCTAGTCTTCACATCGAAGGACAGCTTGTGCCGGGCTCCTCGAAACAGATGATGAATAGAGACTAGTGTTTGTCTGTCGACACGGTGCAGGCTTTTGTCGGCTGTATGTTAGATTTGCGATGACATTCTGTCCTTTGCAGAGCGGAATCAGCCTTGCCTTAGTGCCTGATGACCACCATTCGCACTGTCATTAACAGCATCGTTCGATTGATTGTCCATGGCCCCATCACTGCGACACACTGGCTTTGTTTAGCTTGAGATCAAGTGCGTTAGTGGACGCTGTCTATTTCTGAGCGACTGCGGATGAACTAGCGTGTGAGCTGTTGTTGGTCCATACAGGCAGTGCGGATGGTAGCTCCCGTGTTGGATATGTCACTGGACAGTGGAGCTATGGAGGCAACGACGGAATTGAGCGAAGATGAAGGTGACGAGAGTGTGCAGTGTGACGCAAGCCCCGATTCTTGACTGTCAGTCAATTTGCAGTGGTTGCTCGCCTGGCAGTCACCGATCGAGTACATGGTCAACGCTACCTACCGCAAGTGTTGTCTGGCACTCGACCGTTCTTCCGACTGGTAAGGAAGCGGAGGTGATTGTCAGCCATCCTGGGCCTTCACAGTGTTTGAAGAAGGCAGTGCGTAGGAATATACAGCCTCCAAATCGTCGCTCTCCATACACAGGTGTGTTGGCTTGAACATACGGTCCATATAGCGCAGTGTCTGAAGCGCCGGACAGCGCATGCTGACTGCTGCTCGCGATGCAGCCCGGGTACTGCCTGGGTATCCGTTATTACACGGGCGTTTTCCGTGCTGTGATGGGGCCGTCTGATGTTTGACATCCAGACCTCCTTGATCATCTGGGAAAAGCTTCTCCGATCCTGCTCCTCGACGTGTTGCCCAAGAGTCTTGATGCAGATCTCGGACGAAACAGTCTATGTCCGGCGGTCCGAAGGCAACGCGGTGTAGATACTTCATGGTCGCAAAACCCGATCAAGAAGAACCATGTACTAGTCTTTGCAAAGCAAGTTTAACCGCTTTGGAACAACGGGCGCTTCGAAGACTGTCGTTGGCTTTGGCCAGCATGTGGATCCGTCTTTCCATCTATCACGCTCGTTGGTCATGTTTCGTCCTTCGCTCTTTAGCCACGTCAAAGACAACAGGCTCACTGCATGCTACGCAGTGGAGCTAGGTGTCCAGGTCGAGAAACGCAATCAAACCGTTGCTGTCAGGAGCTGTCTTGGCAAACACGGCTCGCTTGTCTAGAGCGCGACGTTGGTGTTATTGGAGGGACAATGCTGGTGAAAGCTGTAGAATTGCTGGCAGACAGACCGCTTGAAACGTCGCTTACTCAGACCCTGCCCTATGATTCCTGATTGTATGTAGGTTGCTGTGCTCCAGGCGGCAGGGGTTAAAAATATCTCACGGCACCCGGCCCAAGAGTAGCGCGGGGCGTATAATCCCCATGCGCTACGCCCAAAAATTTTGCCGGCGTAAGCGACCACCCAAGGCCGCTTCTCGTCGCTTTGCTACCATGCTGCGATCGGCAGCCCATCATCTCCAACGCCATGGGGAGCGCTCATTTGCCCCTCATCTGTTACCGCCTCTGATGTTGGTCCGCAGCCCGTGGGACTAGTCTGAAGGGTGGCTGTCGTTGTGGTTGCGCCCTGCACACATCGCCCGGTCGCTCTGTACGTACCATCTCAGCCCAGACGAGACATCGCTGGAGGTTGCAGAGAACTCGGTAGCCGAAGCGCTGCTGGCCGTTTGCAAGGTATCGCATTAATCGCTCGAAGGATCGTTCACAGGCGAAAGCGAAATGGCAGAAGCTTTCCTGGGACTAACCCTAGTAGGCCACTCCTCAGACCAGCGCTAGAGCGGTGCGGTCGCCATGTTGGCGGTACCTTCACCCACAAGGATTAGCTAGCCGGCCCGCGAGGCTCACTCGCTCTCCACCGCAATTGTGAATGGATTATGCACCCGGTCTGAACTGGGACCATGAACTACGGACGGTATCTCATTGGGACGAGCGCAGCAAGCGTTAGTCAAATTACCCACGTCCCATTATGACCAGCAGCAGCGACTACTCCTCTATCGGATGTCTGACCCGACGTAGCTATCTATCCTCTTGGGCATTGCAAACTTCGTCTGCGCCCCGGATCTACATTGACCAGTCGATGCCACATGGTCCACCGCTCAGCGTTCGCAATTTC